GAGTTCAAGTCCAGCCTAGATTACACAGCAAGACCCTGTCTCAAAAGAAATAAACAAAGTCATTTTGATATTAAAAAGAGGCTGCTCTGCTATGGAGTAGACACTAAATTTATTTGATAGTTTATTATAAAACACAAGATGACAAAGAACATTGTAGTGTGGTTAGCTGCTTACATCCAGTATTAGCACCCCTTTCTCCTATAGGGGGCAAATCTTGAAGCCTTCTTAGTTTCCACTGGGGCCTGAATTGGTTCAGGCTTCTTAGTCTGTCTCCCTGGATATATTAGGATTATAGGTTCAGGTTTGCAGACAGGTAAATTCTAAACCTGGTGCCTCACTTACTAACTCTGTGCCTCAGTTTTCCCATCAGTAAAATGGGCACAATACCACACTGCTCCTGGAGTTGTAGTTAAGACTGCATGTGCCTTGGTGTACAGTCACTCTGTAGTAAATTAGAGTTGTTACTTTCCTGCTAACAGCCTGCTTCCAAGCCGGTTCTGTGCAGTACAACTGGGGGCTCTGTGGAGGAGGGTGTGCTATCACCCTCTGGCCTCTGGAGCATCCGGCCACATCTTCCCTCCCCAAACACTTGGGAGGGCACAAGGACCTGTGGCCTGCATCTACCTTGCCCCAGGTCCCTAGGGTTAGGCTAGGGAAGCAGGGCACAGGGACGAAAAGTTGCCCAGCTACAGTGGACCAGGCACCATGCCCCCCCCCCAAAGCCAGGAGGCTCAGTGCCTTGCCTGAAGCCACAGAGCCAGACCACGGCTGGAGCACGCTGACCAGCACAGTAGCCACTAGCCGCACTGTTATGTACATTGAGGGAGTTCAGATGAAATCAGATCAGAAAGTCAGCTCCCCAGCCACACTGACCACGCTCCGAGTGTCCCGTAATCAAATGTGACCAGTGGCTACCACCTTGGGCAGTGCGGGTGAGTGTTCCCATCGCCCCAGAAGCTCCTGCCATCAGTGCTGGTCTAGAGCGGTGACTCGCAGCCTTGACCCCCGCTGCTGTCACCCAGAAAGCGCTTTAAAACTGGTGTCTGGGCTTCCCTGTGAAGGCGTTAAATGGCAGCCAGGACTGAGATCCGCTGTTTCAAGAAGGCTCCATTTACTTTATTTACTGGAAAGGTTCTCAACGTCGAGTCCAGCCACGTGTTCGCACCCTGCTCTCAGCCCATAAGAACAGGGCCAAGGCGGGGCACTTCCATCTTCTGGGATTTGTTCTCTTGTCCCGGATGGGCCACCCCGGCCCTTTCCCCTCTCCCTGGGTATTGTGAAAGAGGCCTGGCGCCTCTGATGGGACCTTGGAGGGCCGGGAGGAGGGACATGGGTCGGGTTGGTGAGATGTGGGAGGAGGACTTGGCACACAGACACTTTCCCAGCTCTCCTGAGCAGGTAGTGAGGAGTACAGCCACTGGCCCACTCTGTGTCCACACACTTCCTGGGAACTGCTCCCAAGGGAGCCTGGTTCTGTGACACCACGATTTGCAGGTATCCTTTGGCAGCTCCAGTCCTGCTGCCCACTTCCTGAAATGTGGAAGAACAGGCCCAGGCTGGCTGCTCACCCACAGGGACACTCTAATGTCCCTACCAGTGAAGGCCTTTTACTACAGTGACCACGGCCACTGGGTGCAGGGCCAGGCCTGGTTGAGGCTGAAGGTTGATGACCTCACTGGACCAGTTCTCATTCTGAAAGCATGACCTGCCTGTAGAGAAAGCTGGCATGCCCATTCCACAGATGGTACCACTGAGGCCCAGACCTGCTGTGGGACTTCCTGGGGAGGGTGTCTTGCAGGGTCACTGTCACAACAGGTGGGCCTAGAGCCACAGACCCATCTGTAGGGGGCATCTCTTCAGACTCACTTCAGCTCTAGGAGAGGACTTGTGGCCCCCTGACCCTTTAAGACTAACCCAGCCATCCTGTCTGCACTGAGCAGCCTATGCTCGGCCTCGTTCTCGACTCCACCTTGGTCCCTGCCCACCACCCCCGTGTTCAGTCCTGTCACCAGACCTTTGCTGAGTCAGCTGCCTGCCTGCGCCGCCCTTCCTCTTCTGCGTCCTAGTCGTCTCTGTCCCTGGAGCTGGCACTCTCATGGGGAGAAGACAACAGTCAAACAAGTCCAGTGTGTCAGATGGTTATAAATTACTGGGAAGGAAATAAAGCAGAGAAAGGGGAGGGGTGGGCTGGCATTTTAAGTAGGATGGTCAGGGAAGGGTACCCCAAGGGGACATTTGAACAAAGTCCTGATGGAAGTGAAGGACACTGCCAAGGGAGCCAGCGTAAGAGTGCCGAGAAGGGCGTGTGGCTGGTACATTCCACTATATAGTTCAGGCTGACCTTGAACTCACTATGTAGCCCAGGTTGGCCTCAAACTCCTCGTGATCCTCCTGCCTCAGCCTCCCGAGTGCTGGAATTACAGTCATGCACCACCACGCCCCACTTCTGGCTGGTACATTCTTGTTCAAGAACAATGAGAAAGTCAGTGTGGCTGGACCAGAGAGAGATGTTACAGGCAGAGAAGTGTCAGCCAGATCAATGGAGCAGAGAAAGCATGAGGTCACATACTTCGTATCAAGTGACCATTTAACATCAAGTTCAGACATGAACTGATAGCTCATGGACTTTCCCTCCCCAGTCACGACAGTGTATGGTGATGATTACTTTACAGCTGTGACCACGCAGGCTGGGACAGGTACTATGGCTCCTGCTAGCTCACCCAGCTTGGAGGCGGCCGGGCCTGTGCTCCTCTCCAGACCTGCCCAACCCTGGGAAAAGCCCCGCGCTGCCCTGCTCAGTTTCAGACGTCAGCCATCAGTGGGAGCAGGGCGGCCTGGCTGTACCAATGGGGCTTTCCGGCGGCAGGCTAGGCTGGCGCAGTGGGGAATGTCCAGCCTTTGGTCCTTTCTTCCCTGTGCTGAGCTGTGATGGCCTTGGCCCTGGGGTAGAGGGATGGGGAGTGACGACAGAACGAGGCTCTGCCATGCGGACCTGCCTGTGGGCTTGGTCCTAGCAAGGAGATCTCCCTGCTTCAGGGGCACAGGAAGAGGATGCTCCCCTGCAGCTACCCTTAACATAAAGAGTTCCTCCCAACACTGAGACTCCTCCAGCACTGAACTCTGCACAATCTGGTGCCCTCAGTCAGGACTGGGGTCCGATCTAATGGAAGTGGCATGAGTCAGGCGGTCAAGCACAGGGTCCCCAGCTTCTCCTCCCTGATGGGTAGGGATACAGAAGACAGCAATCTCGGAAGAGTGGGAGTGTGAGTAAAGCCATCCAATGACTCTCTGTTTAAGCAAATCTGCTATTTAAAAAAACATTTATTTATTTTTGATTTTTGGAGCCAGGGTCATGTTGGCCTTGAACTATGTAGCAGAGGTTGGCCTCAAACTCACAGCAATCCTCCTGCCTCAGCCTCCTGAGTGCTAGAATTACAGGCATGCCCCACTATGCCTAGTCTGAAAACCATTTTACATAAGCTTCCCTAAATTCAGTCTTCTAAAGTACAAGCCCTTATAGATCACAAGTACCCCATGTAACACATAGCTCGAGGGGTTGGGGGAGATCAGCAGAGACCACCAGGCTTGTGTAAAGACAACATAGGAGTGGAATTTATTGTGCCTGGGTGCAGACAGACAGGAAGCAAAAAGACCTCTGTAGGAAGCAAAGAGAGGTGTGTACCCCTTTATAGGGATGGAAGGAAGGCAGGGGACATTAGGGGACACCTGTGGTCAAGTTTCTCTGGCTATCTTGCACCTCAGTGGGCAGTCCTTGAAGGTCTGGTGTAAATTTTCAGATGTCTCCAGATGTCCTGGAACCTGAAAAATTCCTTGTGCTTTCTTACCTCCTTTGCAACATCCTGTGCTTGCAGATGACAGCTGTGGTGCTGAGCTGAGTTTCCCCTGAGAATAGCGTCTCTGCGGGCAAGTAGGTTGGGGGCTGGGAGCGTCTGGTCCTACTGGAGGCTTATACTCTGTAATTAAACTGACAAAACCCCCAAACTAAAAGTACCACCCAAAAATTGATATATTTATCAATATACCTGATGTATTCATTGTACTAATATATTTTTCCAAATTTTTTTCTTCTGCAACTTTTCCCCTCTAAATGTTTGGCTGGTACACAAGAGAGCTGAATGTGATGGACATGTTGGTGGCGAGACTAGAAAATTATCCTTTGAACACTGCTGAACTTCAGGGTGTGTGTGTGTGTGTGTGTGTGTGTAGCAAGTATTTTTGTTTGTTTTTTCGTACGGGGAATCGAACTCAGGACCTTGTGTGTGTGTGTGTGTGTGTGGGTGTGTAGCAAGTATATTTGTTTTTTTTTTTCATACGGGGAATCGAACTGAGGACCTTGTGCTTGCCAGGCAGGCACTTATGCCACTGAGCTATATCCTCGCTCCCTATATTTGTTTTAAGAGTTTCATAGTGTCTAATTTAAATTAGCCCAAACGTTGCTAAGATAAAGGCACCACGCCGCCACATCATGGTTAGGGTGGGATTAAATGCACGCCCGTTTCTTACGTCTGGCTTCAGATCTTCCAAGTCCAAATCAGAGATGCTCCTGCCCTGTGCCAGTCTGAGTTTACTGAACCTAGGTAGGTTTGCAGTCGTCCAGGGACGACTCAGGTCTTGGTGTGTGGTAAAAAGCCTCTGGGTGTGGACGAATCCTAATACTGTGGGAGTCTGGAGGAGTTTGCCTGTCCAGGACAGGCGATGGGAAGTTGTTGAATCTTGCAAAACAAACCTGGTCAGGATCCGATGCAAACCGGGAATACGCCCGCTGGGAGGCCAGGCAGAGGAAAGGTCTAAGGACAGCCGGGCCACCGGGCCGCAAAAGGGTGTAGGATCGGCCTCTACTGGCCCGGCCGCGGTACTGCCTCCTCCCACGGCTACTGCGGAAGGTCGGCTACCTCCCGCTCCCCTCAATCACAAACCCGGAAGCTAGTCCACCGAGCACAGACATTTTTCCGGTGGTCACAGCGAATCGGGAGAGAACTGGGAGTCAAATCTAGGTGTCTCCAGAGTCGTGATTCCGAGTGACCCATGTTTTTGTGGATCTACACTTGTCTTAAACGCGTTCGGAAGGCGGAATTCAAAGTTCGAGAGGAGCAAATAACTAGCTCTCAATCACTTCTCATTCTATTGCTTTATTTATTTATTTATTTTTTCCGGCACCAGGAATCGAACTCACCACCTTGCGCTTGCCGGGCAGGCTCTGTGCCGCTGAGCTAAATCCCCAGCCCCTCTTCTAGGGACGCTAAACGGCCACTCACATGTCCTTCTCCGGCCTCCATAAGGGCGTCGCTCGGGTGATAAAGAACGGCCCACCCATCGGAATCTCGGGAAGTGTAGTTTTCCCATACCCCGGACGCTAGGATGTGACGGCGGCGAGGCACTGCATTTCCCAAAAGGCTGCGCTTCCGGTGACGTTAGCAGGCGACGGGCGGGGGTGGTGGGAAAGGCCTCGTCCGAGCTTTATAAATTCTCAAGAGGAAGGAGTGATCGTGGACACAGACTTCTGGCAGCGCGGTTTGTGGGTTCATTGACTTGGCGGACTTGGTCGCGGAGGGCGTAGCGTCTCCCGAAGAGCTCTGCTTCCGGTCCGCAAGTAGAAAGCTAAGGTGCTTCTCCTTTAACTGAAGTGGGCGGGGCGCAGCGGCGCGTCCTGCGTTGCTATTGGCGGCGGTTGGGGGCGCGGAAAACGAACCGGAGCAACTACCGCTGCAGCTACCCTGGGCGTCTCGGACGCCTGCCATGGCCGCGCCCTGCCCGGTAAGTCCCTGTGGGGGCGGCCGCCAGGGGCCCGTTTCCCTCCGGGACGCTGGGCGCCTGGCTGGTCGGAGCAGTGACTTCGAGAGGACTAGGCGGTCCGCGCCACGCCGGGTTGCGGTCTGCGGCGGGCTGGGTCCGGGCGCTGACGGAGCGCCCCTCGCGCGCCTGGTCCGGTGCAGGGGTACTGGGGCAAGCCAAGTCCTTGCCGCCGGGCTTTACGCCTGAGCGAGGAAGGCACGAGCACAGCACCGCCCAGGTGGCCGGGCCCTGGGGTCGACCTTTCTAGCCTGTCTCCCCATCCTGAGCAGCGGGTAGCGGGGCGGGGTCTCGTTGAGCCACGCCCCCTTGTGATGGACGGGAGAAGCCCCGGCCTGCTGTATGACCTGGTCCGAGACTCCTTTTGAGTCCCAGGTTCCTGCCGATGCCGGAGAGGAGCCCTCGACGGAGTCCTTTGGAGAGATTGCAGCCTACGGGCCTGGACCGCTCAGGGTCGTAGTCTGGTTTCCTGACGCGTCGGAGGACTTGGACAGAGGGCCCGAACTGGAACGCTGACGTTTTGACTGCTGATCCGGTGCTTTCCTCCCCACCTCCATCCCCAGTGCAGGGCTCCATCCCAGTGAGGCCCACGTGCAGGGAACTAATTGCATGTGGGCAGATTTTAGGCGACCCGCCATTCAGGAGTGGACCGAAACTTGTTTCTCCTCCAGAGCCTAGGGGTGGACATTGTCTGAACCTTGCTTTCCCAAGAGGCTCAGATGAGAATCAGAGGATGAGTGGGTGCTTGCTGCTGTGCTGGAGGTCCTCCCACCTCTGCCACTCCCCCTGCTGGAAGAGGAACTCGGGTGGATGGTTGGCGGGGAGCTGTGGGGTGGCAGCGGCTTGCTCTGACGCAGGGACACCCTTTCCCATGACTTTTTGGGCTCTGTGGAGCACCCCAAATGCTTCTTTGAGGTTTCTTACCTTTGAGGAGGAGGGAGTTACACTGTATTTGCATGAATGGGGTGTAATCCTTCAAGTGCCAAGATACAGCCGCTTGCTGTGGTCTTCCTAAGCAGCGGGCAGAGTGCCTGTACTGTTCCGATGTTGGACAGGGTGGAGAGCGGTGATGATGAAACCAGGGAGCGGGCTAGGGCAGACCCAGGTGTTCACTAACTAGTCTAAGGAAGAATCCAGGGTGCAGGATCCAGTGCCTGCAATGAAAGGTGCTGAAAGGCCTCTGTGTTTTTCTGTTTGGGCTTTTTTTTTTTTTTTTTTTTTGAGACAGGGTCTCGCTATACAGTTCAGGCTGGCCTCGAGCTCACTTTGTAGGCCAGGCTGGTCTCGAACTCGCAATGGTCTTCCCACCTCAGCCTCCCGAGAGCAGGGATTACAGGCATGTGCCACCATGCTCGGCGTCATCTGTTTGGGCTTTTTAACAAATAACTTTACTGAGATATTTTATGCCATGAATTTCACTTTTTATTTTTTTCAGCTTTTTGTTTGTTTGAGACAGGGTCCCCCTATGTAGTTCAGGCTGACCTTGAACTCAGTGTGTAGTCCAGGTTCTTGGTGACCCCCTACTCAGCCTCCCGAGTGCTGGGATCATGTATGTGTGCGCCGCCATGCCTGGCAAATTCACTTTTTAAAGTGTACAGTTCAGTGGTTTTAGTACATTCGTGGTGTTATATAACCATCATCGCTCTAATTTCAGAGTATTTCCGTCGTGCTAGTAAGAAACCCCATACTCAACGACAGTCATTGCCTTTCCTCTCCTTCCCCTTCTTTCTAGCTTCTGATAACCACTCACATGCTTTCTGTCTCAACAGATTTGACTAGCTTGGACTTTCAAAATAGACTGCTGGCTCTCACTTAACAGTTTTCAAGGCTTGTTTTGCTGTAGCGTGTATTAACACTTTGTTCCTTTTATGACTGATATTTTGTTGTTTATCCATGTATTGATGGACTCTTGAGTTTACTCATTATTTGGCTAATACGAACACTACTTCCATGAACATTTGTGTACAAGTTTTTGGGTAAATGTGTTTTCAGTTCTTTTGGTTATTTACCCAGAATTGATGGACCTCTTTTTGAGGAACTGTAGAGCTGTTTAACAGTGGCTATTTTTTTGTTCTCTTTAATGATATTGGGACTGGGCATGGTGGTGTAGGTCCGTAATTCCAGCTGAAGCAAGGGCATTGCCAAGTTGGAAGCCAACCTGGGCTACATAGTGAGTGCAAGGCCAGTTTGAACTACACCGTGAGACCCTGTCTCTGAAAACAAACCAAAAAATGGAGAGGAGGTGCTTTCTATCTTTCTTCTTTTTGGCAGATTTTTTTGTTTGTTTTTAGAGACAGGGTCTCACTGTGTACTTCAGACTGGTATTGTACTCACTGTGTAGCCCAGGCTGGCCTTGAACTCACAGCAATCCTGCTGCTTCAGCTTCCTGAGTGCTAGGATTCCAGGTGTGTGCCAGCACACTAGGCAAACTTTCATATTGATTTCAGGATCAGCTTGTCAGTTTCTACAGAAATGCCCCATGGGATTTTGATAGGAATTATGTTGAATCTGGATTGATTTTGAAGAGTATTACACCCTAACAATATTACCTTCCAATACATAGTATAGGTAATCTTTCCATTTTTATTTATTTATTTTTGTTGGGTTTTTTTAGTTTTGCTTTTACCTTTTTTTTTTGTAACAAGAATCAAACTCAGGACCTTGTGCTTACCAGGCGGGCACTTATGCCATTGAGCTAGATCCCCAACTATTTTTGCCTTCTTGAGACAAAGTTTCACTATGCAGTTCAGGCTGGCCTGGAACTCACTTTGTAGCCCAGACTGGCCTCTAAATCACAATAATCCTCCTGCCTCAGCCTCCTGAGTGCTGGGATTACAGGCATGCGCCACCACACCTGGCTATCTTTCCATTTTTAAAGTTGTTTTAAATTTCTTACAATGAAGTTTAGTAATTTTGTTATATGTCTTGTGCTTCTTTTGTTAACTGTTCCTAACTAATTTATTTTTCATTTATTGTAAATGGAATTGTTTCCTTACTTTATTTTTTGGGTTGTCCATTGTGAGTATATAAAAATACAATTAATTTCTTTGTGCATTGATTTTTAAATTTTTATTATTTCAGTAAATGTTTGCAGTACACAATGATTATATTCATTGTGATGAGTTGCTACATATACATAGCACATTTTAAATTCTGTTTCTTCCTCTACTGCTCCTTCCAACTGGTACCCTCCCTGTTTGCAAAAGCTGTATTTTCATTTGCTTCCTTTCTTCAATTCTTTTTTCCCATCTCCTTTTCCTCCATTCCTTTCCCATCCCTGTGTCTCTTGTTTCTCCTATCTGTTTGAAAAAGATCTCTCTACTTCCCAGTTGTCTTTCATTTTGCACACACTCTCTATCTGAATTGGTATATACATATGTGTATGTGTATATATATACATATATATGTGTATATATGTTAGTATCTCTTATAAGAGAAGCCATGTGATAGTTAAGCTTGTGTGTCTGATTTATTTCACTTAACATTATGGTCTCAAGGTGTATCTGTTTACCTACAAATGCCTCAGGTTTATCTTTTTGGCAGAGTAGTACCATAGTATATAAATACCACATTTTCTTGTTTATTAATTTTGTAGCCTACTTCTTTGTTGAACTTATTCATTACATAGTTCTGCTAGCTTTTCGGGGTTTCCTAAGGATTTTCTGTGGATGCAAATCATGCTATGAGCTTTTTTTTGTGGGACTAGGGATCGAACTCACGACCTTGCACTTGCCAGGTGGGCACTTATGCCACTGAGCTATATCCCCAGCCCACTATGAGCATTTTTAAGCCCTGCTGGCTGTTGTAGGAAGTCTTGGCCCCGGGGCAGCACACTCCTCACCCAGCTTCACCCATTTGACTCTGGCTCTCTGGCAGGAGGACCCCTCACTGGAGAGGCATTTTAAAGGCCACCGAGATGCTGTCACCTGTGTGGACTTCAGTTTCAATACGAAGCAACTGGGTAAGAGAAGGTACTAGGTTGAGCCCTAAGAAGCGAGACGTGACATGGGGAGCAGAGCCTGGCAAGGACGTGGATGCTTTGTCTGGGCCTGCGTTCTGATTGTCCCTGCCCACTGTTGGGCTGGGCTTCATGACCTCCATTGTACATGCCAAAAGTGTAAGGTTCAGAGAGGTTGGCGAACTTGCCAAGGTTACACAGCCTTTGAGAATGAGTCTGGGTCGAGCTTTTCCCTGCACACGTCCCAGTCACCTCTCAGTTCTGTCCCATGGCACAGGCTGTGAACAGCAGCTTCTTTTCCTTGGGTGTTGGACACCACCGTTGCCTACAGCAGTGTGGTGCGCCTTGTTAGAGAGGCTGCAGTGGGAAGGGTGTTGAGCGGAGCCAGAAATGCGCGCAGCGCCATGGTGCTTTCGCTGCATCTGGGTGCCCTTCCCTGGTCACATGTGGGCTCATACACAGCTTGCCTGGCTGGACCTCTCTTGTTCCCATAGATTCATCTCACCTGTTCATACTGTTGTCAAGATCTTGAGGCTGTGGGCAAGGAGGGAACTGAAGTCATTTTTGGTTTTGTGGGGATCTCCTTTAGTCTTCTTACCGAGTTGTGCCCTCCCACTGGTAAAAGGCTATTTGGGCTGCGCTGGCTCCCCTGTCTTGGGAAGACTTGCTCCTGTGCCTGTAGAGTGATCTGTGGCTCCTCAGGGATGAGTTCTTCCAGAGCCCTGGGTACTGCCCAGGCCTGGCATGTGAGGATCTCTGTCAGCCTGCTGTTCGGAGAATTGCCAGGCCGTAGGCTTTGCAAACTTCCAGTCAGCAGTCACTGAGGTGTGGAATGTGACCCTGTGGGGACCTTCTGTGGGAATGCAGAGATGGGCGTGATGCTCCTCTTGCCTCCCCAGTGTCCTCGGGAGGCTTGAGGCCCGCTAGAGACGAAGATCTTAGCATCACCTGTTCTCCCCAGCCAGTGGCTCCATGGATTCCTGCCTCATGGTCTGGCACATGAAGCCCCAGGCACGTGCGTACCGCTTCACAGGCCACAAGGATGCTGTCACCTGTGTGAACTTCTCCCCCTCTGGACATTTGCTTGCCTCAGGCTCCCGTGACAAGACTGTCCGAATCTGGGTACCAAACGTGTGAGTTACAGACTTTGAAGGGCTTGACAGGGTCTGGGTCCCTGGTGCCAAAGCTGCCCCTAACCCATGTCCTGGGTCTGGACTGGCCATAGTGGTAAATGTACACCACTCAAAGGACTGCTACCTCATGCTGCTCACATGTGGGTGGGGGTGGGAGAAGCAGGGCTCTGCTTTATGGGGGAGGTTATGGCCTCCTTTTTTGGGAATTGGGGTGCTCAGACCTGGACTGACTTTGGGGAGGGGTTTGATAAGCTTGTGAGCCCTCACATCACTATTACAGGTTTCCTGACTCTGGCTCTCTGTCCTCATAGCAAAGGTGAATCCACCATGTTTCGTGCACACACGGCCACGGTGAGGAGTGTCCACTTCTCCAGTGATGGCCAGTCCCTTGTGACAGCCTCTGATGACAAGACAATCAAGGTATGGTCAACACATCGCCAGAGATTCCTGTTCTCACTGAGCCAGCATATCAACTGGGTCCGCTGTGCCAGGTGAGCATTGTCTTGTCTGGAGACACTTGGAGGGGCTTGGGGTTCAGCGGGACACAGCGGGGTGTTAGGTACCAGCTTTTGACCTTGGGCATGTTCTTTAGTCACTCTTTAATCTTCCTGAGCCTTGCCTTCTTCATTTTGGAAATGGTAACAGTAATAGTTCCTGCATTATATTTGTTGGAAAGCTTTACTGAGCTTAATCTTTCTTAAGCTGTGGTGACCCTCTGACATCTGTGCTGAGGAAGCCCCATTCGAGGCAACAGGAGCCACTTCTTGGCAGTTGTAGTGTCAGTAGTAAGACACTGTCAGGGCTATTGCTCTAGAGTTTCTTCTGGTTCCTCATGAGTGCTCTGCCAGCCAGATGGTATCATTTCCGTTCTGCAGATGAGGAAACTGAGGCTCAGAACAGTGCAGTGTCTCATCTCAGACTTGGTGGGTGAGTGGCAGAGCTGAGCTCTGAACCTGAGTCTGCTTTTGAGGCCGATCTACTGTCTTCTTAGGTGCTCTCTGCCTCAGACTGATTTTGCTCCAGAGCTGCCAGATGAGTTCCCTTTAGTGGGGGAGCTGTGCTTTGTACATGGGAAACCAGAAGGGCTTTTGATGATCCAAGAATTGGCAGACGCTGATATGCCTACTTCTCTCTTATTGGGATTTTTTAAACAGGGTTTTCTCCTGTTGTTATGGTTCGTGTCTAGATGTCCCCACAAGGCCTCATGCAGTCATGGAGCAGGCTTCTAGAGTTTGTGATTCCAACACTCGGGAGGCTGAGGCAGGAGGATTGTTGAGAGTTCAAGGCCAGCCTCAGCTATGAAGTGAGCTCAAGGCCAGCTTGAACTGCATTGTGAGACCCTGTCTCAAAAAGACAGAAAAAAAAAAAAAAGAGTTTGTGATTAATTCATGATCCAATGCTGGGAGTATGGGTGTGAGTGCTACACCCACCCTGGGGCAGGTAGACTGAATACAGTATAAGGGAGGGAAAGAGGGTTGTTGCTGCTGCTCCTCCCTTTTTGCTCTTGTTGCTTGTACTGTCTTCAGCTCCCATGAACTGTTACCATGTGCCACTCTGCCCTGGAACCAGCTGATTATGAACTGAAACCTCCACAAACTGTGAGCTAAATAAACCTTTCCCTCATTAATTCTGGGCATTCCCTCATTAATTCGGGTATTTTGTCTCAGCAACGAGAGAAAAGTAACCAAGACCGAATTTGGTACCAGAGAAGTGGGGTCTTGCTGTGACTGTACCTGACTGTGTGGTTTAAGAGTCTTTGGGAATGACTTGTGGGAAAAATTTGGAAAAGTTCGGAGATGTTGCCTGAAAGAGTAGAGCTGGAATGCCTTAGGCTACTCTGTGTGAGAGGTTCTGGTCAGAGCTCAAAAGACCAGAAGGCTGATAGAAATCCTGCCAGTAAAGACCAGGTTCAGGAGGTGTCTGCTGGGAAGAAGGACTGCACTGGCTGTTGGGCTCCAGACAATGTGTATTATGGCTTGGCAGAAAGTTTGTCTGCATTTTGCTTGTGTCCAGAGACTTTGCCTGAGACTAAGATTAAGGGCAGTGGACTGAGTAGTTGGGCAGAAGAAATTTCAAGGCACTTGAATGTTGAGGTGGTGGCACAGCTACTGTTGGGGGCTTTTAGCCAGATTTATGTTGAGAATCAAGAGCAAAGAGCCCAGCAGGATGATTTAAAACATTGTGAGTTTGGCCAGAAAGGAAGCTCCTATAAAACTGGACTACAAAGATAGAGCTGAGGAGATCCCAATTGCTGAGGAGGAACAAGAGAATAGAAAAGATGGCCTGAGGGGATCAGTAGTAGCAGCAAGTCTCCACCTTTTGCAGCCTCAAACCTGCAAAAGTGAAAGATTTTACTTTGAGGAGAAAGCCGCGGAGCACCATGTTCCAGAATGGCGGCAGCATAGAGAATTTGTTCCACAGAATCAGGTTCAGAGTGCTCAGCGATCCAGGCACTCGACCCCGACAGCCAAGAGAGATGAAAGCCTGGCTACTGCTCCAGCTGACAGCGGACCTTGGCATCATCCATGTGGCGCTGGTTTTAGGCGCATGCAGAATGCACGAGTTATGAGCTTAAGAAGGCTTCTGCCTAGATTTCAAAAGGCCTAGGAGGCCAGGCAGTGTGCCTCTGAGAGGGCAGTGTGTGAAGCTGTTGGGAAACTGTTGGAAGTTGTTGGGAAGCTGCTGGGAAGCTGTAGGGAGCTGTTGGTTTTCCTGAGGAGTTTGTCGTGCTGGCTTTCCTGATGAACTTGGCTGTTCTCGTCGGAGGAGGAGCTTAGGACACTGTTGTCACTGAGAATGGCTATGGTTCACTTTGGGGGAGCTCTGGTCTGTACTCTGAACATTGCTTCCTGGCTCTGGAGGGGAAGATGGTGCATTGCTCAGTCTCCTGGAGAAGCTTGCTGCATTGGCTTTCCGGATGGGAACTCAGCTTTCCTCATCACTGGAGGAGCTCGGCACCTCACTGTTGCTGTGGATGGCTGTGGTACTTTTCAGGGGAGCTCAGGTTCTTACTTTGAGCATTGTTTCCTGGCTCCAGTGTAGATCCCTCAGCCTGGTAGCACAGGTCCTGCTGGCACAGACTTTCTAGCTTCTACCACTGACCTTTGGGCCTTCCCAGTGCAGATCCATGAAACAGACCACATGAGGCATTGTCTTGGGCTCTTGGCCTCCAGTTGGATTCATGGGAGGCATTGTTATGGGCTCTAGGTCTTTAGCTGGACTTACGCAGTACATTGCTATAAGATCCAGGCCCTCAGCTGGATTCTTTGGTCTTTAGTGTGTGCACAGATTTTCTGCACTCTCTTTTTGTATATGATCTTTGGGTGACTCTTATAAAATATATGTCCTGTATTGTACTGTCCCCCTTGCAAACCCCAAAGTACAATACCTGTCAAATCTCTGCTCTGGAGGATGGGTTAAAGCTGGCCAGGAAACACTAGGAAGCTATGGGAGTCAGAGGTTGGGACTGTTGAACTTTCTTCTGGGGACCCTGTGCAAGTTCTTGTTCCCTCGGGCGGGGGCATTCCTCAGTCCTGGGAGGCCCCTGACTGCTCTGAGAAGTCTCATGGTCAGGGTCCCAAAAGTGTGAGGGCTTGGGTCAACAAAGTAGGTGTCATGCCACAGCAGGTCTCGGGTCATGGTCCCTAGACCCTCCATGCCTTTTCATTTGCAGTTGTATTTTGCTAACTCAGAGGACTGGGGGCAGGTTCTCTTCCCGCTGTGGGGCTCCTGACCACCTGTATGCTCGGCGTGCCGGCAGGCAGCACTGTGGGGTTATTTTTTTGCATTCTGCTACTCTGTGCTTACTGTGGGGAAGACACTGCTCCTATCCCTCTCAGAGAGGGTCACCATCTGCCCACTCAAGGGGCCACTCAGGGGTCAGGGCAGGGCATGTAACCTAGGCATTTCCTGCTCAGTCAGTAGGCATGCAGGGAAGGTGGCTGTAGAAAACTGCTCACCAGCGCTTCTGGCGCAGGTTCTCCCCTGACGGGCGGCTCATCGTGTCTGCCAGTGATGACAAGACCGTCAAGCTGTGGGATAAGACCAGCCGAGAGTGCGTCCACTCGTACTGTGAGCATGGCGGGTGAGTTCCCATGCTGTTCCTCACCGTGGGTGCCCAGCAGTGAGCTCCACCCTGAGCTCCATCCTGACACGAGGAGCCCGTGGCCTTCCAGAGCTGGACTTGAGGAGCGACAGCCATGCCTCTTCACTCCTCAGCTAATGCCTTTTGTGCAGGCCCTGCATCTTTTCTTTTGTGCACAGAAGCCCCATCCCCGTCCCATGGACAATTTCACTTCTGGCCATGTAATTCCTTGGACCTCTCTTTTCTGCCTTCACTTTCTAGTTCTTAGAATTGGAACATGTCTGAGAGCAGTTGAACTCAGACCCCAAACTGCATTGTAGAGCTTCTTAGTATGTTACCTGTGGCAATGGCTTTATGAATGGAAGCCTCCTTAGGTGCTGGCTATTTGTACTGTACTCTCATGGAGAAAGGGAGGAGCCTGTGTTTGAAGAGGGACTCAACCTAATGGACTGCAGCTTCTACCCTCTCAGGCTGGGAACCATAGGCAAGGGCCCTGCTGGACCTGTTCCTCCGCTGCAAGACCTTCGCTGGAGTCAGCTCTAGCAAGAGTACCAGCTCCAGTTCTGAGGCCCAGGGTAGCCCAACTGATCCTTTGGGTCTGAAGACAGCCACCTCTACTTGTATTTAAAAGCTGATGGGATAGGCACAGTGGTAAAGACCTATAATCCCAGCTGCTTTGGAGGCTGAGGCAGGATTGCAAGTTGAAGGGCAACTTAGTGAGACCCTGTCCAAAAAAAAGGAGTGGGGGCTGGAGATATATATAGTTCAGTGGTACGTGCTCCTGGCCTTGACCCTTCGTACCACCACCCGCAGAATGGTGGGACTTGGTTTCTGGTATGTCTACTTTAGTTCACTACTGGCCAGTGTTTTCCCCTACTCCCTTTTGCTCTCCTGTGGCCGATTGCTAAAGAAACATGGCAGAAAAGAGGTGTTAGGGTCTGAGGGAGCAGCATGAACAGATACAAAGGGATGGGAAAGTAATGGACACCTGTGGGTCTATGCTGTGGCAGAGCAGACCTCCTGTAGTGCATGATATCCCTTGTCTTTCAGCTTTGTTACCTATGTGGACTTCCACCCCAGTGGAACATGTGTTGCCGCTGCCGGCATGGACAACACTGTGAAGGTGTGGGATGTGCGGACTCACCGGCTGCTGCAGCATTATCAATGTGAGTGCCCCACAGTGTTCTGGGCCTGGGGGCAGCCATGGTTGGACTGCGTTGGTGCTGTCTATTTAGGTCACTGCTGTGGCTCTGCAGTAGAGTGGTGGTGGTAAGGGAGTCTTGGTCTGTTCGATAGCCACGGATGAATAGACTGATGCGACAACCCTGGTGTGGAGCACTGGCCGGGAGACGGGGTGTGCTACCTCCTGGCTTCTACCAAGCCCTTTGGTGCCAGCTATGAGATGATAGAGTCTCACAAACACTGCAGCTGGCTGTCCTCAGTGGGCGCCTGGCTGGGCTCTCATGAGAGCCGGTTGCTGGTGGCTGCCTATGGCATTTACTTCTCCCTGCCATGGAGGCTCTGCCCTTCAGGGCCCTGGGTGTAGAGATATCCATAGAGGTCAGTGTTGGTGGGACCTTGGTCACTTCTGGTCTTATGGAGTCCTCCAGGGGTGTAGAGCCATGTGCCATGTAGAAGGTAGATTTAGCTGAGGGCCAGGCTTGGGAGCCAAGCCCAGGACTGTGCCCCTGATTTAACTGTAGCCTTTGGAAGCATTGAGGGGTTGACACAGGTGCAGGGCTCTGGTTTGTTTTTGTTTTGTCTTTTTAACAAGGTTTCACTATGCAGTTCAGGCTGGCCTTGAACTCACTTTGTAGCCCAGGCTGGCCTCAAACTCCTGACAATCCTTTTACCTCAGCCTCTGGAGTACTGGGATTACAGGCATGCGCCATCACACCTGGCCTGTTTTTGTTTTTTGTTTGAGATAGGGTCTCACTATGTAGCTCAGGCTGGTCTTGAACTCATGGTGATCCTCCTGCCTCTGCTGCCTGAGTGCTGGGATTACAAGCCTGTGCCACCACACTGGGCAGGGCTTCGGTTTCAGAGTTCCCCCCAGCACCCTCACAAGCACTTTTTGATGATCTCAGATGCTTAAAGATAGCAAGCACTTTCTTGGGATAGCTGAGGTGAGCCAACCTCCCAAGAAGCGGGAGAAGATCCTGGCCTAGGACAACAGGGGAGGGTAGACTCTAGCTTCGGCGTTCTCGGTTTTATGTTATTAGGCAGGTCACCTAACTCCCTGGAGCTTCTAGTACAATGATAGGTCCTGTCTCACAGGTGGTGTTGGAATGTTTATGAGTTGATTTGTGTCCAGAACTGAGAATAGCTGGGCATGGCAGTGCACACATATAACCCCAGCATTCTGGGAGGTTGATATAGGAGGACTGTGAGTTTGAACCCAGCCTGGGCAACTTAGCAAGACCTCATCTCAAAACTGGTTCTTTTTGGACACATGGTCTTGCTATGGTCTTACAGATCAGGCTGGCCTTGAAATCACTATTAGCCTAGGGTGACCTTGAACTCACAGTGATCTTTGTGCCTCAGCCTCCTAAATGCTGGGATTACAGGCATATGCCACCATTTATAAAAGGCTCAAGGGGCTGGGGATTTAGCTCAGCAGCGCAGCGCCTGCCTGGCAAGCGCAAGGTCATGAGTTCAATTCCTGGTACTGGAAAAAAACAAAAAAGGCTCAACACATTTATAAAAGGGATGGAGATGTATCCCAGTGCAAAGTCCCTGGGATCAAATTGATTCTCAGTATTATCTCCAAAGCAAAACAAAACCCTGAGTAAACCCTGATACAAAATTGGAATAAGGGATGATGATGGTGAGGATGATAATGTTGGAGTCTTTCTGGTTCCTGGTGTCATGTCTGGTTTGGTGAGGGCAGCTAGGGGGGTCAAGATCCACAGTACCCTCTACTACCACCAGGTGTCAGGGCCCAGCTATGAAAGCCATGTCTTTCCAGTGCAGGCAGCCCTCTTGCCTGTCACTGGTGCTCTTGCTTACAGTCTTCTAGACCAGAACAGGAGCAGGGTCTGCCCGCCCCCTCCAGGCCTAGGGGCCTTTCTGCTGCTCTATAGCAGGTCTGAGTTAAGGGCCAGGGAGGGGCAGGCACAGAGCAGGGAGGGCCTGGGCAGGAAGGCGCTGTGGGAAGCTGACGGGGTAGTACAGTGGTCAGGAGTGCAGGCCATTTCCTCTCTATGAGGGGACAGGGCTGGGTGTGTGCCTTGTAGCACATGAGTCTTGGTACTGAGAGGAGGGGTTCTCTAGGGGACTCCAGGAAAGTCCAGGCCCAACCCTGATGTATCAGGAACTTGGGCTTGATGTTCACAGGGCACAGTAGCAGGTACCCAACTGGGGGGAGCCTTGAATGCCCTCTCTGGCCCAGGGGCTGACAGAAGTGCAGCGGTCTACTTGCCAGGGGGCTGATGTACCCCCTGGTGGCTATCTGTGGCCCTTTCGAGGTGAGGGCCTGCCTCAGTGGGGAGTGGTTGGGCCCAGGGATCGGCTTGTGGAGACTGGGCCAAGGAAGACGCTAACACTGTGGGGGAGGAAGGGTTTGGCATGTGAAAAGGGCTGAGGCCGTACTGTGGGCCCTACCAGTGAGGGGCACAGAAGAAATAGCTCCACAAAGCAGATTGAGGGGCCTTAACCCCGTCTCCAGCATGGGAGGCTGCACAGAGGAGGAGTCAGAGGAGGAGGGAGAGAGCGGGCAGGATGGAACGGGCAGTCAGGAGGTGGAGTAGACGCAGAGAATGGTGGGTGCTCAGGAAAGGGCCCTTGGTGCCCCCAGAGCTCGGGGATGGCAGGGCTGCAGAAGTTGGTGAGCTCAGGTGGGCACCAGGGCCAAGTGCTGAGTGGGCTTGGGTACACCTGGCCGGCAGTCTCTCCTCACAGCTATCAGTCTGCTTTGCTGCTCTCCTTACCTCGAGGGGTGAAGCTCCTCAGTGAGCCTAGAGCACCTTGTTTCTCAGCCACCCGGGCAGATCAGAGTCTTAGAGGGAATTGGTGTACCCTTTAAACACAGCTGGAGTCCCAAGTTCCCTGTGCAGTGTGGAGGTGCCTGGTGGGTGCTCACGGCAGGGCAAACTCATCTCCCAGCCTGGAGGCTCACCTTCAGGGGCTCAGGGAGCCAGGTGGATCAGGGCTTATTAGGAGACACACTTCTCACCCTCTTTGCTGATGGAGGGACCTGACCTGGTTTGCTCGGGTCTAGGGGTTTCTCAGAGAGCTCCTCAGCTGAACCCCACCACCCAGGAGGCTCCCACCCCTACAGGTCTGTGGGGTCTTTTTGGTGGCTGACTCTCCAAGAAGGGATCTCAACACTGTGGTAGCAGATGCCTGATCTATTTTCTGTCCCTGATTCCTGTGAAACCCAGAAGAAAGAATTTAAGGACACAGTGATGTCCAGTGTCTTCTCTGGTGACTGTGGATGAGCACTAGGTACTTGAACTTGCTATGTAGGCCAGGCTGACCTTGAGCTCACAGCAATCCTCCTGCCTCAGCCTCCCAAGTGCTGTGATTACAGGCAAGTACTACCGTGCCTAGCATGAGAATTTGTTTAACTATACTGTAGTATGTGTCCAGCTATCCATCAGTCATGTTCTGTGGAGGCCACTTCCTGTCCTGGGTTGATGCTGAAGCCTGCTTAGGGCTTTGGGCTTTAGCAGATAGCTGGCACTGTTTGTCTCAGCCTGGCCGACTCTTCCAAGGAAGGAGTTTCTTGGCTCTGGCCTGTCATTGCAGAAGGCAGTTCTGATTTCCCAATTCAGTAAGTTGACAGGCTGGTGGATTCCTGGGAGTGCCAATAGCCCTGGCTCCATATGCTCTGAGCCCACGGTAAGACTGTTCAGACATCTGAGCGGCAGCCCCCGTCCCAGCACCCACAGTGTGCTTGTGGCTTATAGGCACGTGCAGGTCCATGATCTACTGACAAGCCTGCATGGCCGTCGAGGCAGGATGCTCCCCATTTCACCCGTGAGAAGCATGAAGCTCACCCATGGTCAGTAGCCAGAGGTCATGAATCTGCATCCCCAGCCTCCCAGTCTGGCATTCTGCCCACCCTTCCCGCGCAGGACTCTTTGCACCCTGGTGACTCCAGTGTTTTATCCCTGGATCCCCACATAGGCAGTCTCTTTGGCTAGCTGATGAGCGACTTTCGATTTTTTCCTTCTGATCTTTTCCAGAAGGCTGAGTAGGAACTCTTGAGTCCCAGATTCTCTGGCCACTGGTCCCTAGCATGTCCCTGTACCTCTACCCTATGAAGGCATGATCTTGAAGGGCTTTAGTTTTTTCGTTTTTTAAATGCAATGCTGGGAATTGAACCCAGGGCTTCATACATAGCATGTATGTATGTATTTCCCACATGCTTTCCCACTGAACCACTCCCCAAGTCTGGAGGGTTTTTCGTTTTTGTTTTTGTTGGAGGGTTCTTAAGCAGCTAACATCAGGCCTACCCCCTTTATTTGGTGTTTTGAGATGGAAAGTATTGATTGGGTGCAGTGTCCCTGTGGGACAGTTGAACCCTTGAGTGGGAATACTGTGCAGGGGATAGCTCCTAAGACGAGGCATCCCTGGATGTCCCTGTCCACAACTCTCTGGAGGCAGAGAGGTGTGAAGATGGAGGCTAGACTGGCCAGTAGATGAGGCCAGTGGGTGAGCAAGGGGGGCATCCCCAAAAGCCTGGCATGCCAGGCTGAACCCTTTGGGAGTAACTGGCTTCAGGTGTTTGGTATTCCTGGCATTTGTAGCAGAGTGGGGTTTTTGCTGCCTTTCCCCTGAGGAAGAGTCTCTCCTTTGGGTGGTTTGGACCAATAGGGTAGTGTCCACACACTGACTGTGCAGTTTTGGTGCTGGCAAGCACTGGGCTCCCTGAGCATGCCCTCCCTTTACCAACCTTCCTATAACTGACTGCTCTTCTGCCAGCTTTGTCTTAAATGGGGCAGGAGTGGCCTTCATCCCAGTGTAGGCCGTAGGGTCTGTGTATTTTGCCTCTATAATGGCTATAAAGACCCTCAACTCCTCTAGGCAGCCTCTTGGAATTCCTGACACTTGGAGGATGTTGTTCAGATATAAATATCTTGTTATGTAAAGCCTTGGCTGTCTCCCCTAAATATGCTTGGGAACACGTCTTCATACTCTCCAGCACATCAGCATGCCAGCCGGATTGGCATCTGAGGGGCTCTGCTGATGGCTGTTCATGGTGGGCATGTTTGCTGGCCCAGCAGTAGTTCCTGCAGCCTCTCAGTGCTGTGATGAGGGCTTGGTTTTCACCTTGGCCTTGATGTTTGTGGCAGGGCAGACTTGTGGATCGTAGTTATCTGAGCCCGACTGTTTTGCTCAGCTTCCCTGGGGTAGTGGGTATGGAGGGGCTGCCTCAGCAGTAACTCTTAAAAGGCTGTGATGAGCAGGTCCACACATTGCTCTGCCCATGTGACCTGCTTGGGCCCTCTTCTTGGTTCTGTGGCAGTGATAACTAACCGTCATTTGGGAGGCAGTTATTATCTCCCCACCCCAAAGAGGGAACTCCAGCTCAGGATCAGGTATACACCAATGGCAAGTTTCTACAGGTCACCAGGAGCCCAGGGAGGTGGGACAAGCTCACCATAGCCCCTGCCCTCCCTTGATGCCTCTGGCTTGCCACATGTGTTTCTTCCTCCTGTGTCTCTCATTGCCCACCCTTGGCTCTGGCTGAGTCTTTTCTCATTCCTTGGTTGTGCCGCTTTCCTGGAAAATCTATGGTGGTGGTGGTGGTGGGGGGGGACCCACAGCTCTTCCAGGCCGTGGCCATCCTGGCCCAACCTTGTTGCCCTATGCTGACCCCACTTGGCTGTCTCAGGCATCAGCTGTGCTCTCCGAGCCCCTGACCAGTGTCTTTCTCCAGTGCATAGTGCAGCGGTGAATGCCCTCTCTTTCCACCCATCGGGAAACTACCTGATCACAGCCTCCAGCGACTCAACGCTGAAGATTCTCGACCTGATGGAGGGCCGGCTGCTCTACACGCTGCATGGACATCAGGTGAGGGGATCAGCCTGGTGCTGAGCAGGGTGGAGCTGGGCTGAGGCGCAGTCTCTCTCTCTTTTTTTAGTACATGCTTGTGATATATAAGAATACATCATAGTGGAGAGATGCTGCATCACATATTGTATCTTAGTTGTGTTTTTGGTTTTTTGTTTTTTTTTTAAAGGGGGAAAGGTTTATTTAGCTCACAGTTTGTAGAGGTTTAGTCCCTATCAGTTGGCTCCAAGGCAGAGTGGCCCATGGCAAGAGGGGCAGTAGTTCAAGGCAGTGGAAGACAGCAAAAGCAACAAGTGAGGAGGAAAAAAGGATTGTATCTTAGTCTTTTTTACATCCCCTCTCTCCTCCCCCCTCCCCACTTCTCCATCCCTAAATCTTCCCTTCTGCAAAAAGTCTACCTTCTGGTTTTCAATGGTCTGTCTTTTATTTTGTTCTTTAAATTATTTATATTTTGAGTTTCTCACATAAGAGAAACCATACAATATTCAACCTATGCGTAATTTATATCGCTTAGCGTTATGCTGTCATGGTGCATCCATTTTCCTACAGATGACTTAAATTTATCCTTCTTTATGGCTGAGTAGTATACCACTGTGTACATATACCACATTTTCTTTATTCATCTGTTGATGGGCACATATAGGCTGTTTCCAAGATTTAGTGATTGTGAGTTGTGCTTCTATAAACACAGATTTGCATGTATCATTGTCATATGGTGTCTTTTTTGAGACAGATACCTAGAAGAGATATTTTTTGAGAAGACAGATACCTAGAAGAGGTATATTTTTTGAGAAGACAGATACCTAGAAGAGGTATATATTTTGAGAAGATACCTAGAAGAGGTATATCTGAGTCAAATGGAATTTCTGTATTTGGTATTTTGAGAAATCTCCATACTGATTTCCATATTGGTTTACTAGTTTTCTTTCCTACTAACAATGTAGAAGGATTTTTCTATCCCCATGATCTCACTAGTGTTTGTTTTTTGAGGTTGTGGTGATAGCCATTCCTCTAGAGTAAGATGGGCTATCGTAGTGTTTTGGTCAGCATTTCTCTAATGATTGAAGATGCTGCATGTTTTCTTCATGTACTTTTTGGCCATTTGTATTTCTAAGTGTCTGTTCATTTTACTTGCCCACTTTTTGATTGGGTCTTTTATTTGGGGGAGTGTTAATTTTTTTCAATTCTTTATATATTCTAGGTGTTAGCCCTTTGAGGGGAAGCTGGCAAAAATTTTTTCCATTTTGTAGGTTATGTCTTCACTCTGTTGGTGGTTTCTTTTGTTACACAGAGACTTTTTCACTTGATATAATCCCATTTGTTGATTGTTGGTATTATTTCTTGTATAATTAGGGTGCTGTTCAGAAGGTCCTTGCCTATGCATATGTCTTCAAGAGTTTTACCTACTTTTATCTTCCAGCAGATTCAGTGTTTCTGTTTTAATATCTAGGCCTTTGATTCACTTTGATTTTATTTTAGTTGAGGGTGAGAGATATGAGTCTTCTTCTACATGGATAACCAGTTTTCCCAGCATCACTTGTTGAGGAAGCTGTCTTCTCTCCAGTGTGTGTTTTTGGGCCCTTTGTCAAGAATCAGATGGCTGAATATGCCTGGGTTTGTTTCTGCTTCCTCTATTCTGTTCCACTGATCTGCATGTCTGGTGTTTTTTTGCCAATATCATTCTGTTTTTAATCATGGTAGCTTTGTAACGTAACTTGAAATCTGGGATTGTGATGCTTTTTGCTTTGCTCTTGTTGCACAGGATTGCTTTTGCTATTCCGGGTCTATAGTCAAACATTCCCAAAATATTTAGCATTTTAAAAGTTAATCATAGGGAATTTGTATCTGTACATGATATATCTTGATTCCTCTTTTTTCCCATTCCACTCCCTTCTGTTCAACCCCTCTTCCCCTCATTTATAAGATTTTATTTCCATTTTATCCTTCTTTTCTCATTGTTTTCTTTTTCTTTCCCTCCCCCCTTGCCCTCCATAATTCCCCTTCCCTTTTGAACAGTCATAATTTCTATTATACATTTTGGTTCTTATTTACACTTACAGTTTCTTACACTAGAGAGAATGTGATATCGTGTCTGCTTTAAAAGTATGGTGTCAAGGTCCATCCATTTAGCTATAAATGTCTCAAGTTTATTCTTCTTTATGGCTGAGTAGTAATCTATTGTATAAAAACAAATTTTTTTATCCAGTGGTGAATCCATCAAGGCCTGAGCTTTTTTTGTTGGTAGGTTTTTTATTACGTCTTCAATTTCATTGACTGATACCGGTTTATTTAGTATTTTTATATCTTGATTCAGCTTTGGTAATTCATAGGTATCTAGGAATCTGTCCATTTTCACTGTGTTTTCCATCTTATTAGAATACAGGTTCTTGAAGTAGAATCTGTTGTGATTTTACCTTTTTCATTCCTAATTGCATGGATTTGAGTCTTTTCTTTCCTTTTTTTTTGATAAGGTTGGCTAAGAACTTGTCAATTTTCATTTTTCAAAGAACCAACTCTTCAGCTGATTGATCCTTTGTATTGTTTTCTTAGCCTGCACTGGATAATTTCTGTTCTGATCTTTATAATTTTCTTCTTCATATGAGCTTTGTGTTTGACGTGCTATTTTTTTCCTAGAAGTTTGAGTTTCACTATTAGGTTGTTTATTTGAGCTTGCTGGGGTGGGGTATTCACTGCTATGGGTATTCACCACTATAAATTTACCTCTTAGAGCTGCTTTCTTTGTGTCCCATAAGTTTTGATGTATTGTATTGGCATTATCGTTTAGCTGTAGAAATTGTCTAATTTATTCTTTAACTTCATCTGTGACCCAGTGATTGTTCAGGAGGGTGTTATTTAATTTCCACGTGTTTATGAAGATTGGTTATTTGTTGATTTCTTGATAATAGCCATACTTTCTGGGGTGAGACGGAATCTCAGTGTTTTAATTTGCATCTCTTGAATGACCAATGATGTTGAACATTTTTGCATATACTTATCCTGTTTGTACTTCTTCATCTGAGAAGTGTGAATTGATCTTAGATGCCCATTTTTGGATTGGGTCTTTGAATTTGGGAGGCCTGATTTTTTTGAGTTCTTTATACATTCTTGATAGTAATCCTTTGTCTGAGGAACAGCTGGTAAATATTTTTTTCCACATTGTGGATTGTCTCTTCACTCTGTTGGTGGTTTCTCTTGCTGTGCAAAAGCTTTTTAATAAGACGAGATCCCAGTTGTTGATTCTTTGTGATAGTTCCTGTGGGATCAGGGATTTGTTCGTAAAGTCTTTGCTTACACCAGTGGCTTCAAGAGTTCTACCTATTTTATCTTCCAGTAGATTTAATGTCTCTATTTTAATATTTAGAATTTTGATCCATTTTGAGTTTAGTTTACTGCATGGTAAGAGGTATAGGTCCAATTTTAATCTTCAGCATGTGCAAAGCCAGTTTTTTCCAGCACCATTTATTACATAGGCCATCTTTTTTTCAGTGAATATATTTGGCACCTTTGTCAAAGATAAGGTGGCTGAGTGTGTCTGGAGTTGTTTCTTAGTCTTCTGATCTGTTCCATTGATCTTCAGGTCTGGGTACGGCCATACCACCCTGAACGCACCCAGTCTCATCTGATCTTCAGGTCTGTTTTTTTGCAAGTAACGTGCTGTTTTTATCACAGTAGCTTTATAGTGTAATTTCAAGTCTGGGATTGTAATACCCTCTGCTTTGCCTTTGTTGCCCAGGATTGCCTTTGCTATTAGGTCTCTTCTGGTTCCAGATGAATTTTAGGATTGTTTTCTCTAATTCCGTGAGATATGCTGTTGAAATTTTGACCAGAATTGCATTAAATCTGTATACCAGTTTTGGAAGTATGGTCATTTTCGCTATATTGGTTCTCCTTCCCAAGAGCAAGGGATATTTTGCCAGTTACTGATACACTCTTCAGTCTCCTTTTTCAGAGTACAGTAGCTTACAATGTAGAGGTTTTTTACTTCCTTCCTTAGACTGATTCCTAGGTATTTCATTTTCTTGGATGCTATTCTGAACGATGTCTTTGCCCTAATTTTTCTCTCAGTGAGTATGTTGTTCATGTACAGGAAGGCTGTTGATTTTTGAATGTTGGCTTTGTATCCAGCTGCACTACTGAATTTGGTTGTTAAATCTAGGAGTGTTTTGATAGAGTTTTTGGGGTCTTCCATGTAGATATCATGTCATCTGTGAATAATGATAATTTAAATTCTTCCTTTCCTATCCTTATTCCTTTTATTTCTCTCTCTTGTCTAATTGCTCTGGCTAATGTTTCCAAACTACACTGAATAACAGGGGTGACCGTTGTTTGCCATCATCTTGGTAAGGATTTTTGCATCCATGTCATTAAGAAAATTGGCCTGTAGTTTCTGTTTCTTTTAAGTCCTTGTGCGGTTTTGATGTCAGTGTAATTCTAGCCTTTAGGAATGACTTTGCCAGTACTCTTTCTCTGTCTCTGTTTCACTGAAGAATTTGAGGAGTGTTGGGATTAGGTCTTTCTTGAAGTTTTGGTAGAATTCAGCGGTGACTGTGTTGGGTTCTGGGCCTTCTTGGTTGGTGTTTACCTCAGAAGGCCTTCCCTTGGAGCCCACTGTGGACTCCCCAGAGCCTGGGTGGTAGAGTGAGGTGCAGGTTAAGCTTGCAGGGAAGTGGAGGTAGGCCTTTCCTGTGACCTGGGCTGATCCCCACAGCAGGTCTGGCTCTGGTGTGGCCCTGAAGGGAGAAAGGGGTTCAAATTGTGTAGGGTGTGCGGTGTGGGAAGGCCACCATCTGGACATAGTTGGCAAACTTCCCCTTAGGGGGCAGAATGGAATCTCTCCTTTAATGGCCTCGGGCATCCTTTCCTCTCGTGATTGAGTAGAGCTCTAGAATTCATGCCCCGAGTCACCACCAGAGTTCCTGGAGATTCTGGGCCAGGCTGGTATCTGTGATTTTAGAAACACAGACAGTGATGTGCTGTGCAGAAGCTGGAACAAAAGAAAG